AAGACTATAGAAAGAGAACAAAAGAGTACAATATGTTTTGAGAGATTTATCTAATCTATTTCTGGATTGCTAAGCCTATTGAAGCATTGGGGTCCATCAGTTATACTCAGGAACCAAGATATATTAGTATCTAGATAGCTGCAGAAGCTGCTGAAAGGAAAACGAAGCTGATATTTACTTATTTCAAGAGGTTCCACACCTGCTTTGAATTTAGATATGTCATACTCCTAGACTGGTTGGTAACTAGGGCTAATTTATCTATTTCTTTTAATCCAATGTCACTTCAGGATGTAGGCAGTTACAGTTCACAACTTCCTTTTCTTTCATACCTATGACTTGTCATGGCTTCTTGGAAAGATAGTGGAGTAGTTTCCTGTTGCTTTAGCCACAGTTTTAATTCAGGATTGTTAATCCTAGACTAGCTAGCTAACCAAGACAACTCTATTTACCTGTAGCTAAGATTTAGAAGAGCTAAAATCAAACCTTTCCTAAAGGTAATAAGTGCAAAGTGAATCTAATCGCATCTGCAGGGATTTGAACTTAGCTTGCCAATTTCATTTTCTGCACCAATATCAATTCCACCATATGCACAGACATTTAACTATAGCTGGACTGTAAAAGAGTGAAAGGCATTATTTTAAAGTGAACATGAACTTCCTCAGCCAGAATTTGAACTCAGCTTGCCAATTCCATTATTTATTCTGCTCACCTTCAGGCCAGTTGTATGTCTCCTTTTTTTATTTATGCTGATTAACTTAAGCTAGATTAGAATATAAGCCAAGTTGGAGGGTGGGTTTCAGTTATTTAATATTTTCTGTAGAAGTTGAATTCTTAGTCCAGGTACAATATGTTTACAATTAAAGAGTAGAACAATTCATAATTTAAAAAATTTATTTAATAACCTTCATAAAAGTGATCGTTTTAGCCCAGGCTCAACATATCTGCAGAAAGTAAAATAACTCATAATTTAAGCAACTATACTCTACAAAAATTGGTCATCTCAACCTGGGCTCAACATCTCCAGAGCCAGAGAGCAAAACAATTCATAATCGAAACAATTTATTATCCTCTACCAAAAATGGCCTTCTTAGTCTGAGATGAACATGTCCTGAGCCAGCCTGAGAGCAAATCAATTCATAATTTAAACAATTTATTTAATATACTCTACAAAAATAGTCTTCTTAGCCCAACCTCAATATGTCCACAGTGAGTAAATCAACTCATAATTTATTAATAGTGGAAATCTGTATATATTATGAAGAAGAAGAGACAGTTTAAAAAAGAAAGGTTGTGTCCAATGGTTTGGGGCTTTTTTAGTTCTACAAAGAAAAATCAATATCTGTCTATATTCCTCAAGGGTACATAGTCCAGTAGATAAAAGCATTGTTTGAATCCGGTGACTTGACCAAAAGAGTCATGAGTTCAATACCTGGCTACAGCTGAGGTGATCAAAAACAAAGGAAGATAACTGATAACAAAGTCAAAGGAAGATAACTGATACTGAGACATCTGGAAGAGGCATGGCACGTGGAACTAGAACAGTTTCCCTTGGTGATGAAATAAAGGATTCAGTTTGAAGAAGGCTGGAGTGTAAAAGGCCAAAACATTGTGAATATGGCAACAAAGATAAGGACAACAGTCCAAACAATGTAAATAGTGTAAATAAAGAAAAATCAATCTTGTTGTCACCTTAGTTCTATAACAATATGTTCTTCCTGGGAATTTTCTTTTCATCAGGTCTGTTCTTGTACATAATTATTACTTGCCAGATGTGGTGGAAAAATTTATCAAAAATAAAGTTGTCCTTTTTTCCATTAATAAAATGTTTGGGCCACCTAATTGTTCTAAAACTTCCTTTGTTGGACAATGTCAGCTTTAGATTTGCTCAAAGAATCACTAAGTCTGTTACTCAATACTTTTCTGCAGGAAATTTGCACCTGGTGTTTAACATTAGGAAGGCTTTTCCTTCCATTAGTAAGAATAGCGTTCCTTTCTCCCATAAAAATTCTCACATTTATTCTTGTACATACCAGTGTGAATCTGGTTAATTTAGACACTTCTCAGAGATTGGAGTGTAAGATTAAGTAGCATGTCCTATTTTGGATTAAGAATGGCAAATCACATTGAACTACAATGTTGACACATACGCAGAGGATTTGGGATTCAGCGATTGGCCAACATCTTATTGATAATTTAATCTGTGCTAACACATTTTCATACAACTGTTTCAATATTCTAAATGTAGCATTGTGGTCTTTCCACTTGAAAATTCTTGAATCTCTCTTGATGACAACCATCTCTTTACAAGCAAAATGATTTTTTTCATTCCTTGAAGTTGTCTTGTTGAATTGGCTTACTGCCTCTCTCTCTCTCTCTCTCTCTCTCTCTCTCTCTCTCTCTCATGTTTTTGTTTCTTCTTTTGTTGTTTTTGTAATATGACAGAGAAAAGACTACTGAATGTCTTACTTTATTTTATTTGTAATTTTGTTTTGTTGTATAATATTTATCAACTATTCTCTTCAATAAGGGTTGATTGAAAAGATGGCAACTTAAGAGGAATTATGCCACCTTTTCCATTTCAATATTTTTTCACTTTTTCATGCTATATTGATACTTGAAGAACATTCACAGAAACCAAATAGTGGATGTGAGCACAGTTAGGCAATGAGTAATACATTTGAACAGTGGCAAGAGCAATGTGTGTAGCAAGCAATGTTCTGATTAGGGTTGGTCAAAACACTTGCCACTTAAGAGGATTTACACCACCTTTTCCTTTTTTGAAGTACCTCACTTTTTCTACCATGCTTTATTTTTAAAAGAGTCAGATTAGAATGAAAATGAGTATTGCTGCCATATTTGGTTTGGAACTACCCAACCATCACTTTCCAGCCTTGATAGAGTTCAAAATCATTTATGTGATTCAGTGGGGGAAGACTTATTCTCCATTCTGCATTCTCTTTCCCCACAGACAAAAATGTTGCAAGCCTATTGCTATTTCCATGGCAAATGTTCAGATAAGCTCTATTCTTTAAATATACCAGCTCAGATCTTCACAACTAGTACATGCCATACTAATTTCATACAGTAAAAGAATTCTAATTTCCTCCATATTTCAAATGTAAGGAGAAAGTTCCAATCAGTTTTCCCCCAAAACTACCACTATATGGAACAAACTCCCACATGGATGCTTCCCTAAACACTACAATCTTAGCATCTTTATGTCAAGGATTTATCATCTATTCTCCTTATAACTTTCCCTTTCTATCACCTTTCATTCAGATCACACACCTAATTCATCATATCCATTTTAGCAGTAACCATCTACTTTCCGTGGCTCTTGAGTCTAATATTGGTTGAGTTTTAGTATAAAAAGAAGTACTAGATTGGTAGCAATGTCTTATCCTTTTACAGTTAAAATGGCTGAATGTAACCATAAGTTCTATGCCAATAGTTTCTTCTATTGTACTTCTCGCTTGTGGAACTCTCCTTTGGATTATTGCTTTTCAGTCAACTTTCTTTAAAAAATTAAATGCTGTTGTAATCATTATCTTTTGTCTTCATAATTCTTATTCTTTTATTGCCTTCACACCTTAATAGTGTTATTTTTTTTCATATTTTCTAACACTCAGTAATCCCTTTTTCTTAGTGCCTTTATTGCCTTTCTTGGGTTGAAATGATTCAGAAAAAGAAGTGATTTCTCAACTTTTTCATGTTATACTTATTATACATAAATTAAAAATACATTGGGTAAGCTAAACAGAATAAACCAGATCAAGTTTTAACCTAAATCTTCACAGCAAATATAGTACAGCATGAGAAAAGATTTGAAAACATAAATTAAATTGTGATTCCAATTGTGAAATAATATTGACTTGAATAAGATATTAGGAAAGTAATATTTTGACCATCAGTAGAAAATATACAATTCCTTGGATGAGAAAGAAAAAGTTACAATCTCGTTATGAGCCAAATAAATGTTCATGCAGTCACAAGTGAACAGATGAACAAAAAGTGCAACACTGAAATCCAAAGGCATATTGGGATAGCAAAAGATGTCTTTCAAAAGCTGAGCAAAGTATTAAGAAACAGAGAAATATCGTCAGAAACAAAGAAACGAGTACTGAACTGTTATGTAATATCAATCTTCCTCTATGGCAGTGAATGCTGGCACAATCTCATCACAGATGAAGAGGAGTCTTGTAGCAACAGAAATATGGTTCTACAGAAAGATGCTGAGAATACCATGGACTGAATATGTGAGCAATGACAATGTTTTAGGGACAATGGCAACAAAAAGGGCACTTCTACTTAACATAGTTAAGAAAAAGATAGTTGCAATTAATGGGGTACATAATGAGAAAGGAGGGCTTAGAAAATTTGATACTCACAGGACAGATTGAGGGTAAGAGAGACAGAGGAAAGCAATACAAGTTTGAAGTAATGAATCATAGATCAGGGTTTGGGAGAGATGGCAAAATAACAAAAGTTAATAAGATCTACAAGGGACAGGAAATTGTGGAGTGCCATATCACCAAAGTCCTGAAGGAACATAGCACACAGAAGAAGAAGAATTCTAAAGCTCAGCTTCCTGGTGTTCATCAGGGATTGACTTAAAGCTGCTTAACTAGCATTCATTTCAGTAAAGCCACAGCTGGACAAGAACATATCACGTGGACAAAATCAGATCAACAATCAGATACCAACAGGGGCTAGGTTGAAAGTGTGATCATAAGATGAAGAGATCAACCGAGACCAAAGAGAAAGAGAGAGTGAAGGTTCAAGGAGAAAGATCAAGAGTTCAGGGAGAGAGAGAGAGAGAGAGCGAGTGATCAACAGAGGCTACAGAAAAATTGAGAGATAATTAGAGGTCAAGGAAAGATAGATTGATCATCAGAGACCAAAGGGAAAGAGAGAGTGAAGGTTCAAGAAGAAAGATCAAGAGTTCAGGGAGAGAGAGAGAGTGAGTGATCAACAGAGGCTACAGAAAAATTGAGAGATAATTAGAGGTCAAGGAAAGATAGATTGATCAACAGAGACCAAAGAGAAAGAGAGAGTGAAGGTTCAAGGAGAAAGATCGAGAGTTCAGGGAAGAGAGAGAATGAGTGATCAACAGAGGCTACAGAAAAAGTGAGAGATCATTAGAGGTCAAGGAAAGATAGATTGATCAACAGAGACCAAAGAGAGAGAGAGAGAGAGAGATTAACAGAGGCCAGACTGAGAGCTTCAAAGGCCAGAGTGAGAAAGAAAGAGATTGACAGAGTATAGAAAGAGAGACCAATGGATCTCAGAGGGACAGTGATAAATCAACAGAATCTAAGCAGAAAGTGAGATCCAGAGATTAACAAAGACCAGAGAAAGAGACAGAGAAAGAGAGTGAAACCTGGAAGAGAGAGAGAGAGAAAGAAAGAGCAACATCAACAGAGGCTGAGTAGAGAGTGATAGAGGCCAGAGAAAAAGAGAAAGAATGAGAGAGATTCCCAGAACCCAAGGTTAGAGAGATAGAAATTGACATAGAAAGAGAGAGAGAAAGAGAATGACAGGTGTCAGAAAGAGAAAGATCAATACAGGCCACAGAGAAAGAGAGATTGACAGAGGCCAAGGAGAAAGACTAGGTAGAGAGACATCAACATAGAACACACCTGATGCCACCCTGGTTTTCTGTAAAAAGGAGATGACTCTCTTTGCATATAGGCTTTACACCTGAAGAAGCCTGTAGAATGTATCAGCCAACACAAGATACCAAGGAAAGTAACAAAAAAATAGATTTAATTGTCTCACCAAATTTTTGATATGCAGTGACAT